GTATATAGGGCAGAGAATACATGTTAGACTCCTTCAGGGGAGAGAAAAATTGCAATTTAAAACAGAAAGTTGCAGTATTTTTTCTCTGTCATCAGCAAAGGCAGTTAGGAATTGCTACAATAACATTTCTGACAAGGCAGACAACGTAGTTTTTCAGATAGGAAAAATAAGTTTTATATCCTTAAGAATACTGTTTCTCTGAGACATCTTGAAAGCTTTTAAGTGAAAAATATCTCAAGTTTCAATTGGGAACCTGTCTTGAAAGACCTGGTACTTGCTTCTGCTACCCAGGCTTATAGGTGCACATGCACCCAATACTAGCAAGCTGTATAAGAGTCAAAATTAATTTGTTGCGTACACTGTATGAGTACACTGTTGAGCATGATGGTGTTTCTGTGAAGTCTGAGAAAAGGAATATAGTTAAGGGAGTGAACAGTTCTTGTTTCTTGATTCAGGAGATGGGTTCATAACCAGATCAGTCTGTGCAACCAATTTATTAACTGGTGTTGGGTCAGGCACTTCAGTCAGGATTCAGGAAAGCCACTAATATCACACTTACAGAGGCAATAAAAGCTAGGAACATAATAGTTTTTTTTCCCCTGACCTGTCACTAACTTGCCCTCTGCTTTCGATCCACTGCTGTCCTAGCAGAGCATTCATCACCACGTGCCTCCCCACCGTTCTGTCTGGCACTGCTGGTTTGCAAGATTGTGTGCTGGTGGCCAGCAGATTACAACAGCCACGCAAACTGAGCGAGGGCCAAGGGGCTGCCTGCGGTCACTGTGTTGCAGAGAAGTGAAAGGGAGGCTGAGTTAGGATGGGAAAGGCTCTGGAGTGAGAAGTACCACTTTTGATCCACCTATTAAGAATCCATTACTTTTACTTTTTAAATTAAAAAAAAAAGTAAAAAAAGTACGAGTATATTATTTATAGGACTTGCGGGAGGGAAGCCCTTAATGGAAAAGTATCTTAAGCTTCAGTTAGGATGCTATCTTAAAAATGTCTCAGGATCATAAATCAGAATAATCTAATTGGATTTACCTCATTTTTATACCAGCTAGGAATGTGCCCTCTACATTTATCTGGAGAAATCTTCAGTCAGAAATTATGCTACTTTGTAAAGTGTTTTAAAGCCTTTGATGAGCTGTTGAATAGCAAATTTCAGTGCTTTAGGCCACCTTCTTTAACTTAATGGAGTATTTGTGCAATTAAAGAGATAACATATTTTTGGGGTGGTGTACATCTGAGTATTGCTAATTCTGTCTCCCTATAGAAGAAAAAAACTTTATTTAATTGCAATGACCAAAAGCAGAGGGTGGACTAATTTGTGTTTAGGGTATAAGGAGTTTTTCTTTTTCAAACAAACACATGTTGCTTTGATTAACAGACTTTCAGTCTTCAAAATGCCTTTGCTATATCCATGTTTGGATGAAAAACGTATGCTCACCTTCTAATAAACTGTTATACTACTGCTGGCACAATTTCTTACCACAGATTTGCCACAGGAACCATGATTCACACTATCATGTGTTCTGGACTAGTTGAAATTACAGTTATTAAGCAGTTCTGAGAAAGGCAAAGATCTGAAAAAATCAGCACATCCTGCAGAGCTTCAACTGTTTTACAAACATGTCATGTATCTCATCCCTGCCATGCACCCCACTACAAATACAGATGTGCATTTTTATAGGGTTAGGTACAGAGCTTTATCCTGAAACAATCTCTTTTGACCCTTTAATCCTTCAAAAATGTTCTTTCTTCATTATTTTTTTTCCCCTTTAGGTTTCCATATTTCCCTTTCACCTTCGTTTTTTCACTGCTACTTTACCACTTCATGTTTTCACTTCCCTGGTACTATTTCAAAGTGTTCCTAGGTCTCTTTTCTCTTTAGCTTCTCACCAACCCTTCTTTCAGTTCACACTTTCCCCTACACCACAACCAGTGTGTGTTCAAATAGCAGCCCTGGATCCTACTATGAAATTAACCAGTATCAAACAGAGCCAGATGTGGGTCTCCCTTATTGTCAGACTTGCCAGTATATTGAGTCCAGCAATTTTTGGCCACTTATGAGGGAAAAAAAAGAAAAAAAAAGAAAAAAAAAAAGAAAAAAAAAGAGTTTTGGGAAAAAATATTTAGAAAACACCACTGCAAAGGGCAGTAGTTGTTTTTTTGTTTCTTAATGGGTGTGTCTGTGTGCTGGGGCCCACAGCTTAAAATAAATAAAATCCTGGGATGACTGTGCAGGCTAATTTGCGAGATAAGCCTTTTATGTTGGGGATTTTGTCTGGACAAAGTGAACAGGCTGGAGAGCTGAATATGCAAGCAAACCACTTACCGTGCCTCTTGCATCACACACACACATAATATGTTAATCATCAACGTTCAAGCACAGCTACCAGATACGGTGCCAGAAATAACTTCTGCTCCTGATTTTTGTTGACCTCCACTTTGGGCTCTTGTTTCTAACCCTCGCTCACTTTTGGTTTTGAAATCAGTGGACAGATCAAGAGTTTCACAAAACCCTTCCTTCTTTAACTTTGCCTGTGTATGAGACACCCCTCTGATATGCCAAGCGTTGCCGTTGGCCATTAACTTTCACTCAACAGCCTATGAATTAATTTGCCACGCTGACATGGGCAGTTTGAGGCACAGTGTGAGTCACTGCTCATGTTATGGTTTGTTCAATTATATCCCAGTCATTTGAGCTAATTGAGTCAAATGATACAGTGTCACAGGATTTACTGTAAGTCCAGAGGATTTCTCCTTCTGCCTAAGCTGCTCATCTTCAGCTGTCAGCAGCTGACGGCACTCGGTGTAATCGCTGCCAGACCCCTGGCAGTGAGAATCTCCAGCAGTCCTGCAGCCCCTTTCGTCCCTCATCCCCCACTCGCTGGACGGACACATATCGTCCTGTCCTCCCAAATGTGTGCCGGGTCTCTGGGTGCCTGTCTTCTCATAGGGGAGCCCTGCGGCAGGGCTCAGCCCACCCGGCAATTCATGCTTTAGGCCCTGCCAGCGCTCATTGCAACCTCTTGTGGCTTTACTCGGAAAGGGAAGGGGAAGTCACGGGGTAAAACTAACTGCGCTGATTTTTCTCTTTTCTTTCTTCTCTTGTGTGATCCCTGTGCCACCTTTTCGCATGTGCAGTTCCTTCATGTGCCGTGGGATTAGTCCTGTTTGACACCGGGATAAATGACAGTAGCATTTACTCCCGAGCTGTAATAAAGCACTACATTTAAATAGGCACCTTTTACTTAGGTTATAAAGTGCTTTGTGGATGTAAATTAAGTGAGCCTCCTGTCAGCCCTCGGAGAGAAACAAAGAGCATTATATCCATTTCAGAAGTAGATAATCTGAGACACAAAGAATTCGGGACAAGAAGCTTGGCTGCCTAAAATTAGACTCCTCGGGCCAAATGAAGACATTGTGAATCCGTGGCTCATGTTAGAAAGCAGCTATTCCCCTCCAACAGTGTCAAGAAGACAGCAGCATGTGAAATCTTTGAACTGCATGTTACAGCCACGTGTGGTAAAAGCTTGAGGGGATGTTTAGACGCCCAGTTCCCAAGATTAAGCCTAAGGAATTTTTTTTTCATTGAGGTTATTTTCAAGGAAAAATGTGACCATTAATCAAATTAATAGTTTTGGCTTGTAAAAAATCAGTCTTTAATCAAAAACTGCTTTCAACATTAAAAAAAACACACTCTTGGTTTTCTGTCGAAAAGTGATTCCTTTATCACTCAAATACTACAGTAGGGCTTCATGTGAAATTATGAGAGCAGAACAACTATGAAGGTGCACTCTGACTTAGAGTCCAGGGACATCTTTCGGATACCTTGGGTTTTGATAAGGATGAAGCCCTGGGAAGCTTCTGGTGCGGGTTACGGACACAGCATCTGGAATTCTGCTGGGGCTTTCAAGGCAAGTTTTGTACCCAAACTATGAGAAGTGAGATCTAGCAGGGTGTGGGGGGTGTGGGGTGGTCATGCCTTGGGGCAGGACCTGTGAGAAGTCTTAGAAGTTTTCTCCAGCTCCTAGAAGAAGGAGTCTAAAAGAAGGCCAGGAGGGAAAAGTGCCAGTGGTGGTTTTGGCTGAAGGTTGACAGGCTGTTATGGAATAACCTTTCTCTCAGTAAGTCAGAGCCCAGAGGGATTGGCTTTTCACCCCTACGTATGCTGCTCTTTCTCTGGAAGTCAAGTAGTGACTCCTACCAGCTCTTTAAACCACTGACTCGTTGAGGATTTTTAATTTACTGAAACAAGCTTAATTCAGACAGGTTGGGGGTTTGTTGTGTTGTTTGTTTTTTTTTCCTGGATACCAGGAACTGTTGTATTCCCTTTATAGTTGAACTGTCAGTGAAATGCATCACTAGAAAGAAAAGTATCCCTTTCTCCTGCTGTATTTCTGTTTTTAACCCCTTCTAGAAAATAATGGTTTTGTGCTTTGCTCAAATAATATATATGATTCACATTCGGTATGAAAAATGTATGAAAAGTGAAGCTTCTACCAGACAAAATTTTCTCATTTAATTCCATTAACTGGCATCATACCAGACTGACATTCTTACAATTCAAAGAGGTCTGTTTTTCCAATGTAAAACACCTGAATAAAAGGTCAAAACAATGCAGCATCGGTTTAGATGCTACACAGTGACCATTTGCACATAACGGCTGGCAGGAGAACATATTAGATCTTCACTTCAGATTGAAATTTCAGATGTATGCAGATTACAAATGCTGGCTGATCTATTATTTTGCCCTCTTGGCTGCAAATTGCTTTTGTGCCACTAGGCACCCAGGCACAGTAGTGCCGCTTTAGCCATTGCTCTGCATGGATGGCCAAAGGAGGAGATGCTACATTCCTACACAAGCAAAAACTGTTCATGATGGAGATTTATTTATATGTGTATAAAACAATGCAAACCACACATCTGTTGAGGCATTTCACTAATAACGAGAATATCCCTTGCATTCTTCTGAATGTGATGACCCAATTGACGTGTTGATTTGCTTAGCATCTGCTGTGATGCTGGAGGAAGAAAATGCCACAAAACCACTGAAATGACAAAATAGAAATATAGGTTGGAGGGGATTTCTTTCACTCCAATCTCCTGCTTGAGGCAGGCCTGTCACCAGCAGCAGATCAAGTCAACCATGGCTTTGTCTACCCTAAATCTTTAAAATCTCCTGGGATGGAGATTCCACAGTCCCTGTGCTGTCTTTCCTAGCATTTCTTCATCCTTTCAATAAAAAAAAAAAATTGTCTGTTTTACCAAACAAAACCTACCAAGCTGCATTTTGACTGCTGCCCTTGACATCCTGCTATGTGCTCTGTTACAACTGAGAAGAGTTTGGCCCTCTCATCTTTGTAACTACTCTTCAAGGAATTGTTGGAAATCCTGAGTAAATAAGGAAAGTCTGTGTTACTATATTAGTTAATACATTTGAAAGCTTTCAGATTAAATACACCAGACCACAGCTATTGGGGTGAGGGCCTCATTCATATGAGCTTTTCCGAATCTCCCAGCTGAGATTCATCCTACAGTGAAGAGCTCCCATCAGCAAGACAGTTCTGCAATCTCCATCAAGACCCAGCAGAAAGAAGACTTCAGGTTATCAGTATCTGGTTCTGGAGGTGACTGACTCTCATCACAGCTGGCATTAGTTAACTCAGCAGCTAGGGAAAGCTGCCTGAAAGTAGGTGGAATTTCATGTTTTACATCAAATTTGATGCTTTACATACAACAGTGCAGGAGATGCTGCACTGTTCCTCCCATATTGCATAGAAGAGGAAGGTAGAGCTTAACCTGTTTGAAGTGTTAAAATAGCCAAGGCCAGCCTGGGTGTCATGTGTTGCTGTTGTTCTTACTACATTAAGAAAAAATCCACAATTTTCCTTTCTTTCCCTTCTATTTTCTAGATATTTCACATGTTCCTCAAAAATTGCATCAGGTTTTATTTCCTTCTAAAATGAGAATAAGATCATCAGAAACTAATTAGATCTGGTTCTAGTGTAAAACCACAATGGAAACTTTTCTGAAATGTCAAAGCTGCTATAGTTATTACTAAGGGAGCCAGAGTAGTTTCCAGGCTTTGTGTTATTTCTTTTCTTACCATTTAGGTTTTTTTTTTACTGGGGTCTTTGTTGTTGCTTTGTCGCTATGTCTAACATACACAACAATAGTAAAACATAGTGAAAAAGGCTATTATGTATCCCCAAACCATGTATATCACTCTCACTTTTATTTATTTTTCAAACACTGGGAGTAGTCCTGACTGTAAGAGTCGTGAGCTTTGGTTAGAAAACAAATGAGCACATTTGTCTTTTTTTATCACTCCAAGATGTCTTAATTAATAAGTATCCAGACTATCACAAATAGCTGTGCTGCTAGATTAATATTTCTATGGCCCCTCCACTTGGTTGACATTACTTGGGTAAGGGCTAGTTTTGCTTTGGTTGGAAGATGTTGACTTGGAAAAAAAGAAACTTGCAGGAATGGGCTACTTGTGGTAGAAATTTCCCCCCCCCTTTTTTTTTTTAAGATTTTTTTTCCTTTCTCATCATTTCTTGATGCAATTTTGATCTAAAAGTGAGAGTGGAATGATGAGCAATGTCTTGTTATTTGCTAATAACAAGAGGAATGAATTGAAGTCCCCTCCAGTTCTCAGAGGGAACCTGAGCTAAATCTTGTGTCAGTGTTGTCTCTCACTTTCTTCCTAAAATTCCGACCCAGGCATGGATATGGTGACTGGAAGCTAGACTGCAGCCTGAAGAAGGGCTCTATCTGCCTTCAAATAGACTCCTAAATCACAAGACTAGAAAAGGAAGTATCTAGTTCAGTGTCCTCCCTGTAGATGGGATTAAGTGATGTGAAGTCATTCTTCACAGATGTTATTCTAATCTGTTCTTAAAAGCCTTCAGTGTAGAGTCCACACCTCTGGGGATTTCTGTTTAAAGCTTTAAAATTTTCTAAACTAAACTCAGATAACAGTTGCTAATTTGGGGATTTTTTTGGTTTTATTTTTTACAGGAAGTAAAAGCAGATATTCTCGTCATCCAGATGTGAAAATGAATTACAGATAACACCAGGCAGAAAACTGGACCTTCCCATAAACCAGATATTTTACACAATGGATGTGCACTTTAATTCTATCTTAATGAAAATGGCAACAGTTCACAACTGTTGATGGTATTTTCTGTAACATTAACCTCTACTGTAGCAATTTACATTAAAGACAAGAGTGCGTTTTTTCCTGTACATGTCCTACAAAGAGTTCTCTCCACACGTGTCATGTGTTTTTCAAAGCTAACCACATGGTTGCGTGTTTCCTATGATTCTTTCAAAAATCTTGCAAAAGATTTCTCACAAAACATGAATGAATTAGCAAATAACTGGAAGGGATTCAGAGAGTAAACAAAAATAATGAATGGAAAGAATTGTGGATGTTCATCTTGTATTTTGAAATTGCATTAGCTTCCAAGGGAAAAAAATGAGGACAGGTTGTAAACTGAAATAAATTTCAGTGTCAGCGTCTTTAATGATTTTATTGAAAAAAATGCCATATTAAGTATTTGCTTTGAACTCAAAAAGTCTGAACACATGGGATTCTTGTTTATTGTCATTTAAAAACAAACTGAAAAATCTCCAAACTCAAACTAAAATGTCTACTGTGAAATTCCAGTAGAGGATGAGAAGTGATGTACCTAAACTTTCTAGAACCATGAAAATCATCAGAACTTATTCTTTGCATGAGAAAAATGTATGTTAATTGCTATAATCACCTCATATTTGTTTGGAGGGGCTATGTAAAACAATGTTTATACTAGTTGTAGATCTGTTTCTAAGCTTATAATAAGGAGGACTTTACAAGACCTGCGAGAGCCAAGGAGTAAATTCACCTGAACTGTTAGGTCTCTTTGCCACTGTACCAAATGGTATTAGCCAAATGAGCAGATTAACTGCTGGCATTTTAGACTGACTTCCACCTGAATAATTTTCTGGGAGAAATGGGCTAGCATGTGTTCTAACTACCTCTTGCTGGTTAAGATAAAGCCAAAGACGTTGAAATAAATGTAATTTGTTTTTTTTACAAGAAATTAGGCTTGATGTTGTTGGCTTAATTATTTACTTTCATTAATTATTATTTATCTCAATTTCTCTCCATGTATCCTCTAAGAAGACTTAAAATACTTGCTATAGAAGGATCTTCCTGCTCAGCAAGTATACTCCCCCTTGCCATACTCTGACATAGACTCATAGAATCACAGAATGGTTTGGGTTGAAAGGGACCTTAAAGATGACCTAGTTCCAAGCCCCCTGGCATGGGTAGGGACACCTTCCACTAGAACAGGTTACCCAAAGCCCCATGCAACCTAGTCTTGAGCACTTCATTTTAACTCCTTGTTCTATGCTGTCCTAAGAACAGTTAAAATAATTGCTATTTTTCTGTGCAAAAATATGTGGTTTAGTTTACTCTGAAATAGATAGTTTTAATACCCTTTTAGTTCCTGTTTCGTGACACAAACTCCTTGCTGTGGTCTGCATTGTCTGTATCAGCCCTGAAAATGCTTGTTTACCCCTTTTTGAATGAAGATACAATATACTGAGACATCGCAATAGAATTATCAAGAAGGCAATTCAGCAGTTGAACCCATAAGAATTTTTTGAATAATAAACCTGACAATAAACCTAGCAGAGGTGTTTTCCAGAAGGAGGACAGGCATGAAGGGAGGGAAGACGAACTAGCAGGCCTGTGTATAAAGCAGAGCAACAGATAGACAAATGGATATCATAGACAGGGGTATGTTATATTTGTAGTAAAGCTTTTCTAGGAACTGATCACAGGATTTGACTCTTTACTTTTTTTTCATTTTCTTTCCATTGTCTCCTGTATTGATTGTGTACATATACCTCAGAAAACTAGTCTTCTAGCCTGGACCCATTTAACTGCTAAGGACAAATAAATGCAAGCAAGAATAATTTGCTTCTAGCTTTTGTACACATGATTATTTATAATAGCTACAAGTGATCAGGCTATGGTGCCTCAAAGGGTTACTATGTAGAAGCTAAAGCATGTCAGCTGATTCTAAGTGCTCCAAACCATTTGCAATCAATGACTAAAATGGTGCTTCAAGCTAAGGTATTTCACTTGGGAGATGTAGTGGGACAGCAGCATACATATTTCACTCACCCAGGCTCAGTTAATGAAAGGTAACTCGTTAAGCTGCAGTCATCTGATTACTTGCAGTATGAATGCATAGATGAAAGCAGGCACAGGCCAGCAAAAAACCAGGTTATCTTTAAAATCACAGACCTGAAATTCTGTGTTCTGGGATTTAGTATTAGAAATTGTCAGAAGCATTCACCCTCCCTCTTTTTAATCCACAACTTGCAGACAAATCAGTGTTTATTAAAAGGTTTTGGCTGTTATTCTGTTGTTGTTGTTTCTTTTTTTTCTTTTTAGTTCTTCAACTATGATTTCCCTGTAATATGATCAAAAGCACAGTCCTGATCAATTCTACAGTAGTTGAAAAGTCTTCTCCCTCAAGATCCATTAGGAGATTTTGTTTGAATGACATTTGGATGAGTAGAATGCCTATCATATTCTACTCTTTATTTTGCTCTTAAAATTTTTATCAAGTCAGAGGCCAGAAAAGTATAGAAATGGAAATACTTTAAAAAAAAATAAAAATATTGTTTTTCTGATCATCCCATGGATCACATAACAAAAAGAATATATCAAAACTGCCATCTTCCTCCAAAAACAATTATCACAATTTTACAGATGTCTTTAACACTCTGTGACCTGGGTGACCAACTGTGAATAACAAAGACCAAGTGATGAATAGCTGGAATGATTAGTTTGCAAACAAATCATCAGCTGAGTATCACTTGTCCAAACTATTCACCAAATATTTATAGGGTAAGAAAGTAGCACTGCTTCATGAATTTGATTAGATGTGACAGTTGGTATGAGTCAAGGAGCTGATATAGATGGTGAGCCAGATTTAGTGTGATACCCAAAAATGAAGACAAGACATGGTTTCTCTGGGGCCTTTCAACTGCTGATGTAGCAATCAAACCAAATATGAAATCATCCAACTTTCATGGACCCAATTTTATGTAGATGAGGATAGTCTCTCACAATGCAGTCCAAAAACCTGAGATTTTTACAGCAGGCACCTTAAATAACAAAGTCTTTTATGATTCATTTTTTCTTTACTAATCTCAAGTTATTCTGGCCACATTAACCCCTGGATGTGTGTCTCATATTTGAAAGAGAGTTTTGGAATATTTTTTCCTTCTACTCTCCTTCTGGAATTTTGGACGTATGTCTCAATGTAATATCACCCTCAATCTGAACTGAGATGTTCTTTCAGATCATGAATGAAGTTACTGTGAAAAACTGAATGCTGCTCACAGCTCCGGTGTGTTAGTAGGAAGCTTCCCTTAGGTTGCAGTAGCTTATATTACTATCCTGCTAGCAGTGCCTCAGTGGTGTAGAAATACTTTTTTGTGCTAATATAGAGCTAATCTGAATTGTTCAGAGGATAACACTGGTAGCATTATCTTTTCAGTAAAAAAATAAAAATAAAAATTGTATATATATATAAAGAAGGAAATTTTGGTATTTCATAGGAAAGCTCAGCTTTACAGTGCAAAATTGAAAGACAATGCATTTTTGACTGGAACCCAAAGTATTTCAATTAAAATATTTTTCCACTGGTTTTTTTTGGGAATCTTAGCTTTGATGGAAAAATCTTTCTTGAGATTTCAGATTTTACAACACATTTTACAAAATAATTATTAGAACTATTAAAATCTGGACATTACTTTTTACTTTGCCTCCCTGGGCTTCTGCCAGCATGGTGATTCTGAATTCAGTAACTTACCAGTGGTAATAATAGCACAGTATAATAGAAAATTGTAGTTTTATCTACATTCGTTTGCCCACAATGTTTTAGTTGAGCAAAATTTTGCTTCCTCTTGTATGTCACCTTGTTTATAATATGGAAAACAAATTACGCAATTGCTGCGTAACTGCTTCATGAAAGGCCATGCATGCTCCACTCAGTTAGAATCCGAGTTTGTTCTCACACCAGGTGTAGATGGGTAGAATGTTCAATGAGACACAATTTCAGTCCATATGAATGGGTGAGAGTCCATAAAGTTTATAGACATAAATATATGCAAGCAGCTCGTTGGAGATTTCCTTATAGAAACCTTCTGCTCCATTGGAGGAATTCTGCATTTAGCCAGGGCTTTTGCACCTACTATCTTTTGTCCTGGAAATTGTCTCCAGATTCACAACTGCTATGATTAAGGCTGGCTGGGAAACTGAGTGCTTGTTTAAGAGAAAGGATTTATGCAGGAAATCTGAAAACACAGGATCATACACTTGATGGTCCAAAGTTCATGCAGGCCATTTTTGCCTCTTGGACCAGAGCCAATGCTACAGGAAATGATAAAAATTTTGAGTTATTTGGCCTCAGAACTCATACTAATCTCTGACAGTGACAACCACAAAATGTATTATATCTTCTAATACATTTATTTTTGTCAGTTGCGACCAAATATATTTCCAATATTTGTAAGATTGTATATATATTTATCTACACACACAAAGTTGTGACCTGTGTAACTTCCTTCTGTGGTCAGTTTTCCAGTAAGAGCTTGTAATCAGGATGCATTCATAGCAAAATTCAAAGGAAAAAAAGCCCTTAAATTCTCAAACTCCAACAAATCCTGAAGTAGTTTTTATGAGGGTATGTTTAATTTAAAACGAAATGCGTACATCATTTGTGTTCAGATGGCATGGTTGTTTTCAGTGTTTGGAGGATGATATTTATAAAGACTATTTTAAGCATTTAACTGTTGTGAAATTCAGTTTACTGACGCCTGCAAACTTAAGTCCTCCCTGTCGTTAATGGAGAGAGATCAATATATCCAGATGGTGAGTCTGAACTTCTCTGGAGGATATTTAATGTAGGATTATGTGGATATCTTGTACTGTGTCAAAGTGGGATTTTTGTGGGGGTGGGAGGTGGTGGGTTTTGTTTGGGATTTTTTTCTTTTTTTCTCTTTTAATGGCATAAAGAATTCTTGTGGATGAGTAAAGTACAGGAAAACATACAGTAATTTTGTATGTCTTTGATATAATGTGAGAAAATACAACCCCTCTCTGCAGCAGGATTCTTTTGTGGGCTGATGCGCACAAACTGTGGTTAGTGACTTGAATCAAGTACAGTCCCTGAGGTAAGAGAAATGCTCACCCCACATAGACGACGTTCTTGACATCAGCAGAAGTCCATGTGCGAGTATCTTGGATCCTCCAGCAGATCTGAGACTGAAACAAGGGGTTATGAAAATTGCCCAGGGACATAAACCAGATTTTTGTTACAGGAAATATTTAAGTTTGAGAAGTTTTTCTTAGAATTAGTAACTTCAGCTTACTTCCTCTTTTGGTATCACAGTTTACACCACTGTGACTGTTGCCATAGATGTGGAGTGCGGTTGTTTCCATGGTAACTGTGGTGTGCCATAAACAAACAAACTACACAGAGATAACTTGAATATCATTATTCTATGCTACTGTAAGCAAAATGTAAATAATAATTGAAAGAGGATGTGAACAACATTTAGCATTTTTTATGGCATATTCAAGTTGGGTTTTTTAAATGCACATTTTAATGAAAATCCAGCAAGGCAAAGTCATCAAGTCTTTAGAAAGTTTTGAGATAATAGTTTGCAAATCTTAAAATCCCAGTTCTGATTTCTCTTTTCCTCTGATCGTGTAACTTCACCTCTAGGCCTCAGATTTCACTGGTGTGAGAAAAGTATAATAATATCTACTTGCCTTTAGAAGTCAGATGAGATAGTTATTGTTCAAGGATTTATTTAAAATAATTGCTCTTATTATTATTTATTACTATTATTAATCAAGCTACTTATTTGAATGGCGAAAGAAGAATCCAGAACATATTCCTCATTACACCAAATCTGTTAATTGATGTAGTAGCAGTCTTACCTGTAAACTGCATCTGGTTTAAATGTGTAAATTGCATATGTCCCAGCCTTCTTATAGCCATAAAATATCAGTCTTATCATTTTCAGTTGTTTAAAGAATATAATTTTTAAAATACTTTAAAATATTGCAATTAAAGCAAACAACTATTTTTATTTTTTTTTTTTTTATTTCAGCTATGCAAGCCACAAATCAGACCTGATTGCCACCACAGTCCAGTTAATGGCTTTTAAAACTGTTCGTGTCTTTGGATCTCAAATTAGAAGAACCTGGTTTTAAGATGGTCCAAGCATCTATGTCCAATTCTGTATGCGCATGTGGGCTTAGAAAGAGAGAAACAGATTTATTTTCTGTGTTTGGCTTGACAAAACATTGTGAAAAATGTGTCAACCTGCATGGTTCATTCAGGCTGCATAAATGTTACACACATGGGTAATATGAGGGAAGTTATATTTAGAGAAGCAACAGATTGTAAAGAGGAGTTGAATCAGAAGAGTATTCAGTCTTTCAGCACTAGTAAAAACATGTAGATTAAAACCCACATGGGTAAATCAAGAAAGTGTAAGTGATTTTAGAATAAGACTGCACTAAATGTCCATGAAGCCAGCATCAGACCGTTCACTGTGTGAAGAACTCGTCAGCTTGGAAGTTCAATGCTGGGAACATTTGAGATCCCCTATCAGCCAGAAGCAAAACCACCCTGCACAGCAGCTGCTCTCAGTTCAAATCAGACAGGAACTGCTGAGCAAGGATGTTAAGGCCTACCAGGGGACGTGTAAAATTTGCATATGTTAGCCAGCCTTGGCTATTGAAATAATTATGGTTTATTTTTATTCAACTTCTTCTGTATGAATAGTCCAGTATGAATTTACTAATGCAGCATCAGATGATTCTCCCTGTTGCCATGAGCAAAAGGCTGAACACCTGATATTGTCTCTGCTTGAAAACTGAAGGAAGGCAGGCTCAAAAACTTAATTCCTCCCCATTTCCCAAAATATGGTGGAGATATTGCTCAGCCTACCTCTGTTGCTGGGAGAGGACATTAGCCACCAGCTGCCTCCCAAGCAGGCCTCCAGAGATATCACTTATAGTGAGTGCTGCCCAAGGCACTCCACTTCTCCGAAGTGTGGCATCTCTTTCTAAAAGGGCAGGGATCTGCCTCCTCTGTGTGGATACAGCAATTACTGTTCACCACAGTTACACTAAAGTAAGAGAAGGCTTGACATTTTTCTGCTTCTAGAAATCCTCACTCATGTTTTACCTTCCATCTCTCTATGAAAAGAGAAATGCTACAGATATATATATATAGCTACAGTTCATTAGAGGACACTGCATTTTCACCCCATTTCCTGGAGGTTCTGTTCTTATGTGCAGTACACTGACACATGCCTCTGCGTGTTACAACCAGGACCCAAGTCAGCAATCCAGGAAATGTCACTTACAGAGATTGCTTGGTGGAAAACACTAAAAAGCAGAGTCTAGTATGTCATTCATTTATTTAGCTGTAATAAATTGATAACTTTCTGTTTTTTTTTCTGAGTTGATGTGCTGTCTGTGGGGATAAAGGGACCTCCAAGCATCAGAGCAGACCTGCACAGTGTACACTGCACTATTCTTACCTTGAAAATTTAAGCTGGGTAGCTACTACAGCCTGCTTGGCAATTACAGTGAGCCTGAAGTGACAATAATTTATTCTGGTGTGTCCACACAAGTGTCCTGTAAGTCTTAATGTCTCAAGGTGGCTGGCTGCCTTCTTCGCTCTTCCTTTTCTTGAGCACTTTAAGGGAGATGAAGAGAAGAATAGGACTGTAGTTTGATTTAACTCACATTCGACTTTAAATTCCTGCACCACTATGACATTTCAAAACTCGTTTGTTGCAGCTGAGACATCTTTCCCAAAGCTGTTATATCACAATGCCTGATGGCTGATTTAAAATCACCTCTATGCGGTGTATTGCATTAGCCTAAGCTTTTGTAAATAGTAAATTTATCTAGCTTTTATGGCTGGAAATTTTCAGGCAAGGGAGTTCTGTGGAGCCCAAGTGCTGAGAAAGCAGAAAGAAATCCCCAAAGGCCTTAAAGTGTACTTTAAATCTCATGAGTCAGTGTGGGGATTCTTGGCTGACCTGATTACTTAGAGGTCCGACCTGGCAGCGCTTTGCTGGCCAGTAAAGCAATGTTCAGGTCTCTTTTCTTTACTGCATTTCATAAGATAGCCTGGTAAGCAACAGAAATGCTGAAAATATACTTTCCTAATCGCAACAGTCAGGGAAGAAAAGAGAAGATATATGTATATGTACTAAAAGCCTTGCAAAAGAAAGTACAAAGAAAATGAAGTTTTGTCTTTCCTTAAAAGCTCTGAAAATGCACTAGCTAAATGTGTAACTCATATCAAGGCTTGCTAACATCATGCTATGCTTTGTATTAAAATCCCATGAAAAGCAGCCCCCCAGTGATGAGATCAGCCCCAAGAAGACAGTATCACAGCAACAGATGGCTGAAATAGGAGTCAGGTCTCAGCCCTGTGTTCTGCCAGCTGCAGAAGGAAACTGGAAGACAAGGGATAGTTAACCCTCAAAGTCCCTGTCACATTTCACTCATAAAATGTTACACACTCCAGTCTCACAGCTGGCCTCACCCTTTCCCTTCTCCCCTGCAGCTGAGCCCTCATCATTCAAAACTGCGGTGAAACGCTGAGCTCTCCCTTTCTTCCCCTGGCCTGCATCTGACGCATAAAAAGGGGCTTCAAAGGAGATGCTTGACTTTTACCTGGTACTTCCAGCCATCTGAGTCCCAGGCTCACAGGGGCATTATCTGCACGGTGCCAAGCTGTATCTTTGCATGTCAAACCCTCTCACAACATGTTGCAGCATGGGTTGGTGGAGGCCAGCTTTGTGCAGCCCCATGCAGGCTGTCTCCTGCACTGGGAGGGCAGACACTGGAGAGATCTGCCCTTAGAGGCACTATGAGCTCAGCCGCAGTTCCATCAGCATGTTTGCCAGCTAGAATAAAAAGGGGTCAAAGCCATAGATTCAGACAAGGAGCTTTTTAGGACAGGCACTGGCATGATTTTACTGTCATGTACAATCCCCAAAGCAGTGTCAGTTGCCCCCAGAATGAATTTTACTGTTGTATGTTAGCCAGTGAGAAAAACCTGAGTCAAGACGTTAGCTATGAGATTGAAATGAAAAATTGAAGAGTTGGTAGTGCTGAATAAAAGATGATATTAACCATAAGGCATTTTAAAGAGATAGATAAGAATACAATGCTGTGACGCCTGGCTTCAGTGTATTCCGTGTCTCGGGATCTTCTACTTATTTGGATAAAACACCTTTGCACAGCAGATGAAATCTGATGCAATCTGTCATCTGACTGAATGTGCTTGTTTTCCTATGCTGCTGAGAACGTGTGAATTGCCCTAGTCAGGATCTAGTTGTCCTGATCTGCGTAGGGGGATCAAGGTTTCTTCGCTCAAGGATCCTGGATGTTTCTTGCATGACTCACACACTTCTAAGCTAAACACCTTCTAAAAGCGAGACTGCCCCTCTCCAGAGCAATACTAACTGGGGAAAAGTTTAAGTAGAGGTGTCTTTTTTTTTTTTCTTTTTCAGTTTTTATACATGGGAGGAAACTGTTCAGACTCCTTTTGTCATGAAGAGCTCTGGAGTGGGAGCTCATTCTTCAGTTTGGACTGCTTTTTAACATGAGAAAAGTCCTTGTCCTCAGAGGAGGAGAAGACTAGAAAGAATTAGTGTACAGCTGTTTGTGTGCACTTGAGCTTAGTCATTGTTTGTATTGCAGAGTGTGGACTGACACCCAGCTCCTGCAGCTGAAACACAATGGAGTTCTGACTTCAGTGGGTATTGGGTCAGACAGCAAGTGGGAGAATGAATAGCAAATCTACTTTAATTGAGGTCACCTATACTTTAATTATACAACAGTGCGAATGGCAACGCAAAACAAACATTGGAAGCACAGCAGTGACACAGCTTGAGGAAAGAGGATCTGTTCATTCAAACTGAGGCTGTAACTGCTAGACATAGTTTTCAAATGAGCTGTCCTTCTTGAATTTGGCAGGCAAGATCTTTTGGTTTCACAGGAAGAAGCAATTCTCTTTGGAGCGATAGCTTGACAATTCAGGCCCTTTTAAGGTTACTGCCATTAAATTAGTCACTATGAAAACACTAAATATCTTGTGAGATGATCTTTTTAGTAAGTAAAGAGCTTTTAATTTTAATTAGAGCAATTTGTCCTTTTATAAGTCTCAAAATAAAATTAATCATTGTGATAATACAGCATTAAATAACTCCCCTGGTTTCAACCAAGCACAGGATTTTTGAGGAGGGCTTTTTTTTTCTTTGCTTGACTTGAGGGGGTGGTGTCTTTTTCCTATTAGTTTACAGCAAGTTTTCTAAGCATGGGTTTGGAGGCACAGATCTCTGAAGGCAGTGGCTGTGTTCAGGAGGGAAGCTCATCAAAAAGAGAATTCCTGCA